CTCCCTTTTTCTTTTCTTCCCCCTAAAAATAGCGCCGCCGCCGCCTCGGCTGCCTTCCTCCTCCTCCTCCTCCTCTTCCTCCTCCTCCTCCTCCTCGTGGCTGGTTCCGTCGCCGCGGAGATGTGAAACAGCAGCCTTCTTCTTCCTCCTCCTCCTGCTCTTCCTCCCCGCGTGCCCTTGTGGAGTCCCGCTCCTGCGCCCCGCTCTGGCAAATGCGCCGGGAAGGGGGTGGTTCGGCCCCCCCGTTTCTCCCCATCGCGCTTTCCACGGCTGTCGTGGTGCTGGCGGTGCTGGGGGCAGCAGGCGCCGGTTTTTCTTCGCTCACCTGCTCGGTCCTAAAGGATTTACTGGATGAAGAGCTTGCTTTCGGGCTGGTTGCTGCCTTGGGGGTCTGGCCAACGGAGAGGAGACTTCAGCTGACAAGGTATACCTGTTCTCCAGATCTCTGCTTGGTAGGGGAGGAGGGAAGAGACCCAAATCTTCACCTGAAGAGGGTATTCCGCATCGTGGTCTGTCTTTGGGGAGGGGGTGATCGCCATCCTTCTTCTGCCCTACCCGACTCCCCCACTTTCCTCCATTTCCCAAACCTCGGAGACCATCCATTCCTCTCCCACCCCCCCCATGTCTTTACAGGATAATAGCAGCCTTCGATGTGAACTGTCTCTAATCAGTGGACGTTCGCTCCAGCCTGTAATGTGTGTGAGAGAATCCTTCCCGCTGGGGCTGCGTCCTTTCTTGGGGAAGGGGCTGCCGTTTTTCCTACGGTGGGGCTGCTCTAGGGGCGTGTTAGCTCCGGCTTTCCTGCATGGGTGAGCCGGCGATCCGGAGTGAAGGAAGTAGCTACCTATGTGGCTTCCTTCTCTCTCTCTCTCTCTTCCCCCTTAATAATGTTGGGTGTTTGCCTGCATTCTGTGGCGGCGGGTGGCACGGAGGGTGGTTTGGGGTGGATCGGGGATGCGATGGGTGAGTGGTGGAGTGAAAGAAGCACCCCAGGGTGCTGGTGGCAACCAGATGACATGCAGCGGTTGCTAAGGGAAGAAGGCATCACTGCAAAGAAGGGAAGGCAAGAGGGAAGTCTGCATGATCCTCCTACTCCATAGCCTGTGCAGCCCCCTCCTCTTAAAAGACGTGTGGATTTCCAGGGGGCGGGGTGGGCGGATGATGAGGCGGAGGAGCAAGGTGGCAGAAGCTGTTCTTTGGTTTGAACAGCAGCAGCACAGATGATCCTGCTTGGCACTTGGGCATGGGAACGTTCGCAGCCTGCAGGGCCAGTTCCAGGTTGGCAGTGGGTGGGGGCTCGCTCAGCTCACCAAGAGAGAGGGTGTGAGCAACTGAATAGAGATAGCTGTTTGAGAACTCTTTCTTTGTCTCTGGGCAGCATGGAGGAAGAACTGGACCCTTTGCAACTGATGAGTGTGGGGCGGGGAGGAAGAGAGAAGCAGATATTCTTACTGCCTGTTTACTCTCACTCTCCTTAGGCAGAACCACAGCATCTAAAGAGAGCGTGGAGGAGAGTAAGTGACCATAGTGTATTGCTACCAAGAAGAGCCTCACCTGTGGTCCTTTTGGGTGACACAGGCACAACGGTGATAACTAAATACAGTTCTACAGGGCAGCCAGGCAGAGAGTTTTTGCGCCTTCATGCCAGGATCCCACAGAGAAAGAGAAGGAGAGCAGGGAAATGGAGGCAGTGGTTTCTCCTCTCGTCAGCCTGTGTTGTCTCATCAAGGCAATACAGCATTGGGACCAATCCTCTCTGCCACATTGCCTATAGAGCTAGGCAAATAGGAAGAGGATGTGGGAGCAGCTGCTGGTGGTCCTTGCAGGATCATTGACTATTCTGGCATTTTTGCTCAATATCTTCACTTAGTAGCATAGTAGGAATGATAGCACAAGTGAAGACTACAAGGAACCCTCTCCCCTTCCTTATTCCCCTTCTTTGTTTGGGTGACACAGAATGGGGGGATTGGACCAGCAGGTTCCACATGGATGAGTAGAAGCCAGTACAGGCTCCCTTCAGTTATCCAGTGAGGTGGGCAGACCCCACTTCCAGAGGGGGAAGAGGAGGAGAGCACAGGTGAGTGGGTCAGTGAGGTAGGCAGACCCCATTTCCACACAACTTGAGAGAGGGAAGAGGAGGAGAGCACAGGTGAGTGGGCAGAAGATGCAGCAGTTGCTCTTTGCATGAATGGTGGGAGATCCGGCCAGGCCTGTGTGCTCTGTCATGAACAGAGTAGATGGTAATAGCATATATCTCTAAGAAGCACTGCAGATCTCAGTCCTTTTTCCTATTCTCCTTGCTACTCTCTCTTGGCATGGCATGGGAAGTTCCTGATGACTGGAAGGTGCGAAGAAGGATACCTCCCTCCAAATGTGTGTTCGTGACATCTAATCTGAAAGTAAGCACTCCGCTTACTATCCCCACTACCTTCTGTTGTAGAAAGTCTTTGGCTCAATCGCTTTCTGTGTTTGGGTGTGCTATTGAAATGGACACTTGTCCTATCTGTGCCTCCTGACTGAGAAGAGATGTATACCTGAGAGTGGGCAGAGCCACGGGGCTCAGGTTTTCCTTGGAGAAATGAGTGAATCACCTGTTGTGGGTATCCCAGAATAAAAGGTTGAGCATCTCAGCAACAGCTAGACTATGTTTATTTACCTGTCTCAAGAGCTGGGATGTTGGCCTTTGCCCCACCATGGTGACCTTTGCTGGTTTCCCTGACTGACAATATTGGGTCATCACCAATATTAAGATCTGCTGGATCTAGATTCAGAAGCTTAGTCCAACATTCACTGTTCGCTTCAAAATGTGTTTTTTTTAAAAAAAGATGTACAGGTAAAAGGATCAGATAGTTCGCTCTTGTAGATGCAAGGGAAGCTCGAACACATATGCACACCGGCCTGTTCTTGGTTTTTGTTTTTTTTTAATTACTGGCAGGCAAAACCACAGTTGGATCTGTCTCAGTTTAGCAATTCACCAAAAGAGTGGTGTGTGAAAACAAAATGGGAGGGCCCATATCTAGAATGGCATTGATTTCAATGCAGTGCAAGCTGTCCCCAGTGGTAATTGCTCTGCAATGAAGTGTGGGCATCACAGTTCTCTTTTTGTTCAAGAATAGAAAGCCACCAGTGATTTTAGTTTATATGTTTCTTTTATTTTTGCACTCCTGCTACTGTGAAAATGTTTTCAAAAATATCCACAGCCTCATAAATGTGCTATTCAGCTATTTCAACCCACCAAGTGCCCTCTTTCTCCACCTTCTTGTCCCCATTAGTGCGTGACTCAGAATGGCTTTATCTTTTTTTCTCCTTTCCTTTCCTTTTATGCTTGGGGGAAGTTGTCTGTGTAAAAGAAATGTCTGTAACCCTGCCTTACATTTCCTTCCTGGACCTTTCTACTCAGTAAATACCCACAACACATTTGTCAAGGTAGAAAACTATACTGAATGCAGGTAGTAATTGTGAGCACAAATGAAAGGGCACTTAGTCAAATATTTCAGTCAAATTTTTCCCCAAGAGTGTTTGTCTAGGAGAGAACATTTAGATTGAGTCATTATTAGGTGTGTACATGGTTCAGGGTTTTTTTTTCTACACCTATGTCCATGGACACATTTTTTTTAAATGCAAAACTTGCTTTCTATAACGAAGCTGCAGGAGATTAAAAATAATCATATTGGGAAATCTTGCTAGTAGAACCTGCAGCACAGTGCTGCATAATGGGATGCTTCTGTTCTAGACATGAGCTGGTCATGCCAGGGTGGTCTCTTCCTTTGCACTACTGATGCTTCTGTCCTCCCCTCCTCAAGAACCAGTGACTACTTCTATGCTTAGTCTTCACTGACCACTTTTGACTGTCCTCAAATAATTAAGAGTGTTTTCCCCTACACATTTCTGAATTTCTACAAAACCTGATGTTTCCTCCGAGATTGTTGATACATGTTGTGCATGTTTGGTGTTATTTTTATCATATAAAGCAATCACTGCCAGGGTTGGGAAAGTGGACCACTATAATATCCTACCAAGGTGAGTTTTCAAATCCTAGGAACTTGTCATCAGATTGGGTGCTGAAGAGCACTCATTCTCAACCTTTTTTTGGCCATGGCCATAAACAGATATGAAAGAAATGTAGGCCAAATCAGGATTGTATAAGTCACACAATGAACCTTATAAGGTGGTGTGTGAAAAATTGTTTCCAGTCTGTTCCAGTGCCTTCCAGGGGGCCATATGGCCCCTGTTGAGAATGGCTGCTGTACAGCTTGGGATAGGGGGGAAATGTAGAAAACCCCAAACATCATACAGGTCAGATGTTGAAGCCACAGAAAGTCAAGTAAAATTAAAGTTGCAAGATAGAGATAAACACCTTGAAGAATCATCTTAAGTTGTGAGGATACCTGGTTTCACCTGGGGATGGTGGGGCAATATAAAATCAACTGACTTTTTCCATCTTGATAGATTAAAAAAAACAGCCAGTCAATCTGTGGGCTCTCCACTGTTTTTTGTCAGGTTTAAGGCTCTTGTTTTTTTTACTAGGGACAGAAACACCAAGAAACATAGACACTAATCTTTGAAGTTTAGAAACAGATTTAACAATTTGCCATTTTTAAGAAAGGGGGAGTATGCCATTTTCCTTGATGAGACACAATATAGATAGATGTGCATTAGGAAGTGTGGAATTTATTTATTTATTTATTTATTTATTTATTTATTTATTTATTTATTTATTTATTTATTTATTTATTTAATTTATATCCCGCCTATCTGGTCAAGCGAGGACCAGATAAGGTAAGATATTACCTTATTGTAAAGACCATTTGTTAACAGATTGTACCTTTTTCAATAAAGCTTACAAAGGCTGTCTAACTGCCAGATGATGATTAAAAGTAATATCAGTATTTTTAATCTTAGACCAACATTTTTGCAATGTATCTGAAGAAAAATGATGTTTTCATTTTTGTAATTATTATATATACATTTTTAGTAAGTGAATGAATTCTTTAACATAGATCTGTTTTTCACATATTGCCAACTTCATCTGTTTGACCAAAGACACCTTGACAGTCCTTGTGTAATCATTTGCAGCAACCATAGTGTAGCTCCTTGTGGTTCATCATTCTAGACAATCTGCATGGAAAAAAAAGATATAGTGCATAAACCGTGGTGTGAATTAATCTGTCATTTTGTGCTTGTTATTTTTATATGTTTTTGGGAAAGGCACTAGTTTTGTGCTGATGCATTTTGCACAAAGTGTTGACCAAAATGTTTGCTTTCTTGCTCTTGTGATGGAGGTCAGAATTCTCGCAGAGACTGGAGAGTTCTCAACAGGCTCTCAGTTAAGATGTCTTGCTAAGACACTATACATGGTTGTGATTTCTTCCCATTCCTGTTTTGGAGTAGGGAACAGAATCTCTCTCCCTCTCCATTCTTATT